GCCGACTGTTGAAGCTGTCAGGTTCAATTGCATCACTTCACATTATTCAATGCCCCAAACTGCTCCCTAATTGTGAAGAGCTTAATGTATTCAAAACTATTGTTTAGGCTAATGCTGAAATGTCCCACAATTGAGTTCCCAAAAAGTAGTAGGAGGGATTAAAGTGTAGTTAAATCATCACTCAATACTCATGATTGGACAACAGGACTGTAACAATAACCAACCAATTTTAAGCAGGCTTCAAAATTGGTTAATATCTTGTCCATGTATCAGGAAAATTAAATTCCTAGGAGAAAGACAGCTATTGAAGTAATTTTTGATCTGGAAAAGATCTTCATCCACAGATGAACCCAACATAGTTACATTATGAAATTATAGGTTTTAACAAAAAAAATTTTCATACTATTTTTAATAAAGGAATTATTTCTGTACAATTCCTCTTTATACTGGTAATCCTGCTATTTTTGTAACAGTTGAAATTAATACCTAGTAATGTCCTTTATGGCCTGCATTTAAACTTAAAAACAAAATTATATAGCAGAAAGGTGAGGAACAAAGTATTATACAAGAAAAAACCTGAGGATCACACAAATTAAAAGACCTACCCAAGATCACATTCGTGAATGCTAAATCTCCTAGAACCCAGGTCTTCTGACTCAAATTTTTTAGCTATTTTTGCATTCCATCACACAAATAGGACATGGTAAAATTTTCCAAAGAGTTACCTCTTAGCATAAGAGGCACATAATTGGAAAATTCATTTTTATAATATAAAATGTTCATTAAAAGAGGTAAATTAGAGCTATCTTGATTCCAGGCTTACTTTCACCACTCAGAAATGCAAACTTGCACTGTTACTTAATCTGTTCATCATCCAACATATTGATATATTAAAAAGTTATAAAAACTTATTTTGCTTAGAAAGGAAAATTCCTTAAAATTTTAATTCATTATGAAATTACTCAAAAATATAAAATGTTCATTCTAATCAATTAAAACACAGACATGCCACTCTCTTTCCCCCTCAATTAGTTGAATCTGCCTAGGCAACATTCGTTTTCTCAAATAGAATGAAAGTGTCATTATCAGATACTATCACAGAACAAATCCAAGGCTACATGTAAGATAATACATCCAACATGTGCATACACACACACACACACACACACACACAGAGGCATGTGCTACAGTACTGAAAACAAAATGATGAAAGTGTCACAGAAATCTAAGCTGCTTTTATAAATAAAAAAGTAATATCTGTATTTAAAATACGGAAATGTCTGTATTTAGTAAATATCATATAAAAAAACAAACACTGTTTAAATTTTTTTAACTTTAAATGATTTTTAAACCTATATCATTCTTAAGTAGGACAAGAAACAACCATTATATACATGGAGACTACATCCAAAAGCAAAAATTGGAATGTAATATATGATACAATGTAATTATTTTTCATTACATTCAATCTTAAATTCTTCTATTAAAGATGTCATTCTTCAAACAAAAGAACTTGTATTCTGGGCTGGGGGTGTGGCTCAAGCGGTAGGGAGCTCGCCTGGCATGCGTGCAGCCGGGGTTCGATCCTCAGCACCATATACAAACAAAGATGTTGTGTCTGCCGAAAACTAAAAAATAAATATTAAAAAAAAAATTCTCTCTCTCTCTCTTAAAAAAAAAAAAAAAAAAAACACTTGTATTCTCCCAAAGAGAGAATGAATGCAGAACTAGGAAAAGGTGGAATTTGAAAGGGAAAATGAAAAATTATTGGTATTCTTACAGAAACTAATTTATTTCTCTACTTGTGATCCAACAAGGGAAGAACACATCATTAACAATCACGGACAGGAGTTCTATCTTCCAATATTGTTAACAGACTACAATTTCAACTACATTACTGATATATCCTAGTGTACAGTAATGCAGGTACTCTACCAAGTATTTGTGAAAAACAATTATGCTAAAAACAAGTACAACATATTAAGTAACACAAAATTAACACTTAAGATTTTAAATTGATTTATCCAACAGTTTTTCTAAATATTTTTTTTTTGGAACTTGGATTGCTAATCATCAGACTTTCCTCCCTCCCCAGGATTTTACAAGTTGTCTCCCTCCCCACCACCCATTAAAATCCAAAATCAAGGAGCTGGGGTTGTGGCTCAGTGGTAGAGTGCTCGCCTAGCATGCATGAGGCACTGGGTTCAATCCTCAGCATCACATAAATATAAAATAAAGACATTGTGCCAATCTAAAATTTAAAAATATTTTTTAAAAATCCAAAATCAAGTTAATTTCAGTTTATCAAGTTATTTTTGGTTTTTAATTTTTATTAGCCGTTCTTGATTTACCTCCTCTTATGAGAATTCTTAAGAGAGTAAATAAGTCAAACAAGAGGACTATTTACTTTTATAAAAACAAAGTCAAAAAAGAAAAAGAATGATCCCTGGATTTTTATCGTCACTGGCACCAATCCACTCACTAAAACTTACTACTTTAAATTTACTGGGGGGCAGGGTGGTAAGATGATTAGCATAACATTAATCAAATTTAAAACTTATATTCTCTGCTCATATTTTTAAAATCATTTTCTCCCTAGTATGGTGATTCTTGATGATTGTGATAACACTCTTAGAATTACATTTGTATTGATAGTTTTGATAGTTTCATCTTATCACATTGCTCTCTTCATTTTAAATCATCTACCTATAAAGCACACCTAAATAAAACACTAAGACGTGTTTATTTAAATACAATGAATTGTATGGTTTGAAGACAAACAAGGCCTCTATAAGAGTTAAACAGAAATGAACTTCGTCATTTCAGGGAAAAAATTCAATTACCAATTTTAAGAGTCCTGTTACTTCTACCTAAATATTGAGGGCTATCTTACTTTCCCTTGCACACTGCCTAGAAATTTTCACATTCAACATCAGCACAATTGTCTCAGGAAGCTAAATGGAAGTAGTTCTGCACTCAGTTCAACGGAGAGGTCAACATGCCTCAGTTGCCTGGAGACTGATGGTTGCTACAGCAGCACCAGATAAGCCAAACTAAATAAGCTTCAGCTTCAAGGCAGAAAGCATTTACTGCTAGGCAGAAACATAGATGCAGTTGTCAGTATGCAGCATTTGAATCAAACTGGATGATATAAGAAACCCATCTTAATGAAACATGAAAAGGGGATAAAAAGTAAAGATTTTAATTGGACTGAATCCTAAATTATTCGCAACTATGATTTGTTTTTCAGTGAGTCACATGTTAAATGGAATTTTCCCTCTAGCTACAAATTTCTCTTTACCTCCCTACATCCCCCCATCCACCTCTTCCTAATGCTAGCCCCTAAACCCACAAACATAATGAATGAGATTTTTGCATAATTCAGCCTGGAATTAACCAGAATAATTAAAACAGACTTTTGTATAAAGACAGAAACAAAAATGCACATTGAATATGTTCATGTGAGACTTGGTCCAAGGTTACACTTAATTAAAAGAGAAAAACTATTTATGAAAGCCATTGTTTCATTTATCCTTTCACCCTCTCTAACCCCAAACCCTTATGCCTACCTCACTTCTCTAGTGAAATGAATTAAAGAAAGACCCTCCTAAAGTAATCAAACTTTCCTTACTCAGGATAATAGGTTCACCAAATAGTTAACTTTCATCTTCAAAGATGATACTAATAATCATGCCACCGATTTTCTATGCTGACCGTCTGCTGTTCATTCTGACACTTGGCTTAATTACAATGGCGATTATTCACACTGCATCATTCACTCACATGCTTTAAAGATAACCTAATGCTGAGCTTTGATATACAGCTTACAAAAATACTGAAAAATAATATATACACACACACATACACACATATACACACATTACATACAAATACACACACATACACACACACACACACACTACGTACATATTATAAAGCTCCATACAATGGAAATTATGCACATATACTAAAAGCTCAAATTTACGGCAACTTACATACAACTACTTAACTAGCTGTTTGTAATTAGATATTTACAATTATACTATTACAATATTGTTGAAATGTTAAGACTTACGACTTGAATTTTAGAAAATAACAAATAAAAATATAAAGAATTCCAAATAAATTTTAAAAAAGATTTATTGCAGTTGCGCACACCTATATGCCCAGCTACTCAGGAGGCTGAGCAGAAGGATTGCAAATCTGAAGCCAGCCTTGGTAAATTTAGCAAGACCTTATCTTAAACTAAAAAAATAAAAAGGGTTGGGGCTGCAGTTCAACAGTAAAGCCTCCTAGGTTTCAATACGTACTTCAGGGATCTTAAATTATTACCTTTGGAAAAGTATGCCTACAGTTTTCCCCATTTACTGTCCTATTGATACAATTTAAGATTATAATCCTTCCCTTCTTCCTTCTTTCCTCTTTCTTCAGTACTGGGGATTGTACTCAAGGGTGTTCTACCATGGAGCTACATCCCAGCCCCTTTTATTTTTTTATTTTGAGACAGGGTGTCAATAAGTTGCCCAGACTAGCCTCAAAGTTGTGATCTTACTGCCTTGGCCTCCCAAATTGTTGGGATTACAGGTATGCACACTGCACAAGGTTAACATTCATACTAGTTTTTAAATGTTTAGACAACAGATAGTCATATATTATTTTGTGATTTTAAACATTATTTTAAAACCCCACAAAAGTCCAAAATTAGCTCATACTTTGTCACCATTATGTTTTTAAAGAAAAGAATTCAAAGCTCCCCTGAAAGTATAATTTTACATCAGGACAAAGTCAGAAACAAAGAAAGAGAAAAGAATCATTTAGTACCCATATAATCATTTGTCCTCTCTCATGAAGATCATGAAAAATTTCCTATTAACAAGTTTAATACAATTCAGATATTTCATACATTAAAGCTCTATTTAATTTGCCTCTCCTCCAACTACCCTTACTTTAAAAAATGGCAGACCCATCTGAACCTGACTTCACAACATTATAATATGTACCTGAGTTGTAACAACAGCAGGGGTTACAGATGATGCAGCTGAGGGGGAGAGAGCTCCCACTTGTTGCAAATGACCAGAGGACTGCTGAGGTAAATGAGAGCTGGAGACAGGAGTGCTAGATCCTGAGCCAGATACTACATTTGGAAAGGATACTGCTACATCATTGCTGTTATAAATACCTGCAAGAAAAGAAATCTTATTCAACAACTTGCAGTCAAATTTGCCACAGACACACAAGATTAATTAATGAATGAGAATACTTACATTTCTTCCTGATCTCTCTCCCAATTAAAAATTGTATTGTTGGTGTTAAAAAATACTGATATTTTATAAAATACTTGTCTAAAAGAACCTAAATAATTTTTCATTGGGCAAAACACTTTTGACAAAAGACAGGAACCACATTGGGAAGGCTTTTATAAAAAACATTAAAGTTTGTAGAAGGTTTCTAAGAGCAATGAAAGGTTTCTGAAACAGGAAAATAAAGCAATCAATAGCTGTATAACAATCACTTGGTAAGTCTTTCAAAACGCATAAGCTCAAAACCAGAAATAATGATTTAGAAAGTCTAAAATGGGAAGAGAACTTGTTCTAGAAAGCTATAATGTAGGGGGGAAAAAGCAGAATGGAACTTGACTTGAATTTCAGAGAACAACAAAGACTGATGAGGCCCGATGACTTTCTGTGACACAGCTGAGAGAATAAAGAATAGAAATGGATGTGAGAAACATTGAGGAGATAGAACAGACCTTATGGTTGACTGTATGGGTGTGTGCATGGGAGTGGGAAGAAAGAAAAGGAAGAATTAAGGTATGAGGATGACCTGGACAGCTAGGAAGTGGTATCATTCACTTCGGGAGATAAAACATGATAAAAGACTTGGTGAAAAACACTTTCAGTTGCTCCATGAGGGGTAAAAGCCAGAAAGAAAAGCAGAAATAAGGACATGAAGGCTTCTTATTCTAGAAAAGAAAATGAGAAGAGAAAATAATTCTAAGATCAAATACTGGGGGAAAGCAAGTGTTTTTTTTTTTTTTAAATGGGGGAAGTTGCCCATTTATGCTAATAACAAAAAACATGGAGAAGAAAGGCTCTTTGAAAATAAGAGATAGGAACACATCTATAAACAAGTAGTTCTCATGTGCCCCATGCGGTATTTGACAATGTCTGGAACATTTTTGGTCGTCAAAAACTGTAGAATATTACTCATATCCATTGGGTAGAGGCTAAGAATGCTGCACAAGATAGTTCCACAACAAAGAATAATCGGGCCCAGAGTGTCGTGTTTGGAGGTTGAGAAACCTTGCTATAAATATAAACATGGGCTCACAGGAGGGAGGGAAGATCAAGAGAACTTGACACTTAAATAAGAGAAAGAAAACAGAAAAGAATGATCTTAATGGGCTGTAGTGGCTCCCCACCCACCCCCTATAAATTGTTTTTAGAAACTCTAGCCCTAGAAGACAACAATTACTAAATTATATTAACAGATCAATTTACTTTGAACATAAATATTGCCTGGCATGGTGGCACACACCTGTAATCCTAACTACTCAGGAGGCTGAGGCAGGAGCATCTCAAGTTTGAGGTCAGCCTGGGCAACTTGTCAGACCCTATCTCAAAATAAAAATAAAAAGGGCTAGTTCAAGGAGCTAAACATCGCTTCCAGTTTACATGAGCAAACAGAAGTTTAAAGAAATAAAGTTACTTCCTTGGTGATCTAATAAGAGGGAGAATCAGGATTCAAATTCATACCTGCCTGATTCTGTAAAATGAAACCATGTCATAATACATTTTTTATTTTTTTTTTAAGGTTTTCATTTTTGGTACAGGGGAATTGAACTCAGGGACAAGTACTTGACCATTGAGCCACATCCCCATCTTACATTGTATTTTATTTAGAGACAGGGTCTCACTGAATTGCTTAGTGCCTAGCCACTGATGAGGTTGGCTTTGAATTCGAAATCTTCCTGCCTCAACCTCCCGAGCCACTGCGATTACAGGCATGTGCCACCACGCTCAGCTCTTTCCTAATACACCTTTGAAGTTCCAGATGATCACATTCTTTGAGATACCTGTGGAACACAGGACTCCTGTATACACTACAATACAATGGGATGAGCCTGAGGCTTGGCAGAAAAATCAGTTCTAGACACACACAGAGGGATAGTAAATTAAAGTAAACTTGCAAATTCAAAAAGACTTTCTGTTGGTGTTCACTAAAGCTAAAAATTTTAACTACCTGCTCATATGTAGAAATATGGAAATTTCAAATTAAAAAGTCTAGATTTCTAGCTTCCCTGGAAAAACTGAAGAGCTGTCAACAATCTGGCTGGATCTTCAGATAAGACATAGATAACTTAATCCACCAGAATTCCTATTATCCCTTACTGTGTCACTCACCTTTTTACCCATGTATATATAATACCACCCAGCCTCTGTAAGTATTTGATTTACCATTCTTAATATGGACAATGGTCAAAGACAAGCAACAAAAATGATATCTATCACCCAGGGAAAGTTCTCAGTATGATTAAGAGAAGCAGACCAAAGACAGGATCTTAGGGAATTACCATTTAAAAGGTAGACAAAGAAAAACAAAACCACAAAGGACAAACTTAGAAGACTGACATCTTAGGTATCAAGTTAAAAAAAAAGTCGGGGCTGAGGCTGAGATTGTGGCTCAGCAATAGAGCCCTTGCCTAGGACGGGCGGGGCCTAGGTTCGATCCTCAGCAACACATTTAAAAAAAAAAAAAGGTATTAATAATAAAAAAAAAAAGCTGAAGGAAAAGATCAATCAAAAACACTGATGATTTAAGGCCAGAAAAAGAAGTCACTAAATGTGGCAATAAATCTTGGTAAGAGGACACTTAAAAAAAAAAAAAAAGATGTAACTATATGTTTTTTATACCTTTTTTATTTATTTTTATGTGGTGCTGAGGATCGAACCCAGAGCCTCACACATGCTAGGCAAGTGCTCAATTTGGTTGTGCAAGACAGAAGACACCACAAGCTCTATAATCTTAATGACTAGAGAGGCGGAGGCAGAATTGCAAGTATGAGGCCAGCCTAAGCAGCTTACTGAGACCCTATCTCTTTACTAAGTAAGTAAAAAGGACTGGGGATGTACTCAGTGGCAAGGAATCCCTGGGTTCAATCCCTAAAACTAAAAAAAAAAAAGAAAAGAAAAAAAAAGAAAAAGCACATCAATGATATGAATATTTACAACCTTACACTGCAAAGGACAGGCACATACACAAGAAAAAGATACGTATTTTTAAAAGTTGATTACGTCAATGGTTCATTCAATCAATATTCATTGACTCTGTATTATTTTTTTTAAAAAGCACTAAAGACAGCAAGAAAAAAATTCTGCCTTCAAAGAACTTAAAGAATCTCAAAGCAGAGGCGATCAGTATTCATAAGCTACTAATATTCAGAAGAGAAATGCTAGTGAGCACCCTAAAAGTACAAAGGAAATATAAGACTAAGTTCAGAGGAAGACTCAGGTTGACAACTACGGAACTACTGAACAATTCTCAAAGTGTCTTAAAAGATAAAATGCTGATTACATTATTAATTTGATGGTGAAAAGCTCACCTTTTTGTATCACTGGGGATGAAACCCGGGGGTAGTCTACCACTGAATACATTCCCAACCCTTTTTATTTTTTCAATGAGACAGAGTTTCACTAAGGCACCAAGGCAGGCCTTGAACTCATTAGACCTAAACCTTCCAAGTCTCTGGGATTATAGGTATGTACTGAACCTGGTTGAAAGGCCTACTATACATAGATTCTCCAACATTTTTTTTCCTCCAGATTTTTTAAAAATCTTTAATTTGTTATTTTTATTTATTTTTTGAAATTTATATATGACAATGGGATGCATTACAATTCATATTAAACATATAGATCACAATTTTCATATCTCTGGTTGTTCCTTTTAGATGTATATGACAGTAGAGTTTTTCTTGTTTTGGTGCTGGAGTTTGAACCCAATGGAGGATTAACCACTGAGTCACAAGCCCAGCCCTTTTTTATAGTTTATTTAGGGACAGGGTCTCTCTGAGTTGCTTAGAGCCTTGCTAAGTTGTTGGGGCTGGCTTTGAACTTGTGATCCTCCTGCCTTACTTTTCAAGCTGCTGGGATTACAGGCATACCTCCAACTTTTAAAACTAAAATACAAAAGTTAGCAGTAAATAGCATGCTGGCATCAAAATAGAACAACCTTTTGACTGAGACAAAATTGGATTCAAATACGGACTTTTCCAACTATGTGATCTTAAAATCATTTATCTTTTTTTGAGCCTCCATAATACTGTCATTTATATAACAAAAATCATAGCTACCTGACTTTGAGAATATCTATTTACTATCTAGCAATGCCTATCCCACAGTAAGTTTCAACCAAATGGTAGCCACAGCTATTTAGTATTTTAAATTCTAACTAAAAGGGGCTGGGATGTGGTTCAAGCGGTAGCGCGCTCGCCTGGCATGCATGCCGCCCGGGTTCGATCCCCAGCACCACATACAAAAACAAGGATGTTGTGTCCACCGAAAACTAAATTCTAACTAAAATAAAAAGTCAAACAAGTGAAATGTTGTAATTATCAAGGCCTCTAATGTTTCCTACTACACTTTGAAAGCAGTAATGGCTATCACCACATGCAGTAATATATCAGGTAACTATAATATTCAGAAACAGAGCTGTGGTGACTGAAGACTTTCGATCTTAAAACTTTAATTCTGTTTTGATATTGTACTAATATGTGATTAAATGCAAAATTGCAAAGCCAAATGACAATCCAATGATGACATTCTGAAACTATATGTCACACTCAGGTTTCTAATACAAAATAGAGCACATCAAAATTTTTCTTTTCATTCAAGGCAGAAGAGCTTAAAATTCTAAAATCAAATTTTTTGGAAAATAATGATTGGTGATAGCCCTCAACTCCCTCATCCCTCAGGTATGATTGGTATGAATAGCGAAATAAAACCTCTAGATTTTTCTTCACAGGAAAATAGTCCTATTAAGTTGTTCTGTATCTGCTTTCTATTTTATTTCATTCTGTTTCCATATTTTACAAGTTATATACAATTTTAACCAAACCAAGGAGACATTCATTCACTTAAACTGAACTGAATTCTAGAAATGCTCAAGCTCTAGGAAAAC